CCGCCACCAGCTGGTAAGGTGCGTTGATATTAATAATCCGCCCACTAGAGGCGAACAATCCGCCCACTAAACGGGAACTATAGGCAACGTGGAGACGGAAAAATAGAGGTCCCACCAGAACCGGACACAACAGGCTACAACAAGAACCAGACCTGTGGATACCAGGCTTTTGAGATGCTGTAGGCCAGCAGGGTGACGTTGTTGTTCGCTGCGACCGCCTGGGATGTGCACTAGTGAGCTCAGTTGGAGAGCTTTGTCACCATCTGGGCATGCTTCTGTGGAGGGACAGGTTGCTGGTCCATCCTGGAAGCTTTTGCCCCAAGCGCCTCTGCCAGGCTTGGCTCCGGGGTCAGGGGGGGAACCGAGGGCAAAACACAGATTGGTAAAACCCTCCACTCTGGAGATGGAGTCGAAGGTGGAGACGGATGTCTTCAGCTTGCTGGGCCCAGCTGCAGCCTCATTCCAGTGTGACGTCACAACTGGACAGCGAGGCCAGAGGGGGTCAGGGTGATGAGCCGGAGCCAAACCTTCCCGCCAGATCATCCAATCGGGGCGAAGGGAGGCGAGGGACGGAAAGTCCCTTTGTGTTAGCAGCCCCCTGGATTATGCCGGCAGCTCCGAGAGGAGGGCGCCAACGGCTGGGAGCGGTGTGGTAGCTGACGTGGGAAAACCTGAGGTGGCTGAGCATTCGCTCGGCCACTCTTTTTCCATCACTACGCTCTCTAGGAGGGAAGGGGCAGCAGCATTGCCTTTCTTGGAGGAATCATTCAATTCACTGCGCGACTCTGCGTCAAAGAAAGGCGGTGGCGTCGTCCCGCGTGTAGCATCCTGCCACGGAAAAAACACTCAGCAGAGCTGCTGCCCACATCACCTTTTTCGAGGGAATCATCCAATTCCCTGCTAGGAAAACACGTTAAAAAAGGCGATGGCGTCGTCCAGCGGCCCGCCACGGAAAAACAATCCTCGGCACTTACCTTGAACAAGGCTGCTCGTCTCTGCTTCTCCTCGGGGAGGAAGAGCTCACAGGGACGGCAGGAGGTCGGCGTGGTGGAGACCCAGGCATCCTTCGCAAAAGTTGTGCCGGTCAAAGCTGGACATCTTTTCCTTCTTCGTTTTTCTGACAGTGCTAGCTAGCTGGCTGAAGAAAAAATGGGAGCCGATTGCCCTTTCTCACCATAATTTATACGGACCGGGGGAGGGCCCACACAGCTGGTGGGCGCTGACTAAAGTTTTCGGTGCTGCGCTGCACACGAAGGGATAAACCCACTGTGATAGCCTTAAAGGGCGAAGCCTATACGAAATAGAACATCACTTTCCATCGTGCTCACTGGCTCAGAGGTAAGAAGTGATGAATAGACAGGCTGGGTGTGTTCACTGTATATTTTATACACTGTGTGTTCATTTTATTCTGCACTCTGTGTGTGTTCACTTTTCCATAGTTTTATATTTATACTTTATTCACTTGGTCGCAGGATGGTGGTTCTGCACGACCCGGCCAATATAAAAGCCAAAGAAGGAGTAAAGAGATGGTTAGCATGGTGGGTGCAGAGGCTTGAGGAATGGAATGGAGGGACCTTAACTACCATGATTAGCCCATTGAATAGCTATGACCCCATAGTAAAAAATGATATCCAAGGCAACGGGCCTGGAAGAGGTCCTAGTGAACTCTAAAGCAACAGCGGCTGCGAGATATAAAACATACGAAGAAGAGTTGAACAAGATGTGGGCATAGAAATAAGCAAGAAAAGGCCTAAAGAACGGTCACAGTCAGCAGAGCATCTGGGAGGACGAGAATAATGACACGGAAGAAGAAGTTGCGAACAAAGGCACAGGGGAAGGCCCTGAATACGACAAAGCGACAGAAATAGGACAGGCAGCAAACGGGGTGAACCAGATAATGACGAACAAAACAAACAACAGTATCCCCCCCAGCATCGCACATAAGCCCCTCAGCTTGGGCCCAAGTAGCAGGCCCGAGTGGAATGGGAAATCTGATGGAGGAAAAGGAAAAACCAAAAACAGATGATGAATTATCGAGTCCGATGACGAATCGAAAAACACTGAAACAGAACTACAAATGGAGGTTGGCTCAAAGGCTGGTGGAAAAAAATGAAAGCTCTAATGACCAAAAGTAATGACCAGGGCACAGGACAACTGCAGACATCAAAGGTGCAGACTCTGTATGAAAAACTCAAAAATCAGCTAGACAAACACGAAGACCTGGGTGAGAGTTCAGAAGAAGAACCCAGAAACACCCCAAGGAAAAATAAAACTAAAAAGAACCATACAGAATCAAAACCTGAACCTGGCTTTAGTTGGGGCAGGAAGAAAAAGTTCCTCAACCAGGTGCCTGAGGAAGCCCATGTCATAAAATTTCAAAATGGAACCTGAGTATATCAGCTGATAGGGAGTCCCTGGACACTAGACGCAGACGGGTTGCTGATATTCACCAATCACACGTATAAGATTCACAACTCAACCTTTAGGAAAGTTTTTAAAAAGTTGGCTGGACCCAAATACCAGTTTGACTTCAGACAGTTCAAAGCAGAATTAAAGGACGAAGGGCCGAAGATAAACCTAACCAGCGGAGCAGACCTCCCATACCATGCCATAATACATGTCCCGATTAAGAGCTACAAGGAAGCAGAAAGCCTAGAGGGGTATATGAAAGAAATGTTAATAGCCCTTAGGAAAGGGAAAGGCAAAGCTATAGCCTACAATTTTAGGCGAGTAGTAATGTATATAGATAGACTAAGATCACACAATCTACAATGGGAGGCAGCAGAAAGAGTAGCGATCAATACCGCGACTTATCTGGCAAACGCAATGCCTCCAGAAGCGTTATTAAAAGAGTTAGTTGTATTGACCCCGACAAAACTGTACGACGACAGAGAGACTAGGCTTTTGGCTGCTATGGCAGGGGCAGAGAAGAAACAGCCCAAAAGTGACCCAAAAGGGGAAAGAGAAAATGGAGAGAGACTGCCAACCTCACAGGATACGGAAAAGGACAGAAACCCTTTGTGGGATAATTCCCAAAAACAGACATAACCTTGATCACACCAGTTTGATCTTTTCTTCATTGGCTGCCTGTTGAATTTAGATTTTTAAAATTTTAGTCTCAACTTTTAGAGCTTCACTAATTCACTGAAATTCAATTGTTTATTTATATATTTATTTAGTGGGGAGTGGTGGCGCAGAGGTTAGAGAGGTGGGCTTGTGATCCGAAGATCGCCGGTTCACGCCCCGGCCCCGACAACATCAAAAATTGTGGGTGGGGTAGGTGAAACACCCACACTTGCCCCCACCCTCATTCGCCCCACTCTGGGCCCATGAGCAAGGCCCTTAACCCCCACCATGTGCTCCCTAAACAGGTCTCTCATGAAAATGAGTTCTCGTGGCTCAATGAGACTAACCTGGATAAATAAAGGCTAAATGAAAAAAAATATATATATATAGCTCCAAATCACTACACAGTTGTCTCAGGGCACTTTACAGGAACATTCACATACATAAAAGCCAATTAGTAAAGTTCTTCATCTAAAGTAAAGTTCTCCATCTAATGATTGAAATTGCTCAGCTGGAGCAACAACACCACCAGCCTGATGAAGAAAGCTCATCAGAGACTCTACTTCCTCAGACGGCTGAGACGAGCTGGTCTGGGAAGCTCAGTCCTCACCTCCTTCTACAGGTGTGCAGTGGAGAGCATCCTGTGCTCCAGCATCAACGTGTGGCATGGAGGCTGCACAGCTGCAGAAAGAAAAGCTTTGCAGAGAGTGGTGAAGGCTGCACAGAAGATGTTGGAGTCAGCCTCCCCACCATCACAGACATCTATGGAAGAGGAAGAGGGCCACCTGCATCATGAAGGACCACACTCACCCAGCACACACACTTTTTGCCCCACTCCCCTCAGGAAGGAGGTTGAGAAGCATTAAGTGTAGAACCACTAGACTGAGGAACAGCTTCTACCCTGAGGCTGTTAGACTCATGAATCTCTAACTAGAATAATCACTGTGAAAAACCATATCATGTTGCTGCTGATCTGTTTCATGTTGCTGCTGATCTGTTCCATGTTGCTGTTGATCTGTTTCATGTTGCTGCTGATCTGTTTCGTGTTGCTGCTGATCTGTTTCATGTTGCTGCTGATCTGTTTCATGTTG